ATATATATATATGTATATGTATATGTAGTAGGCATTTAAAATTCGAGAATCTTACAAATTCCTAATTTTCTGCCCTGCTTTACATTCCTGTATGAAAATAAGTCAATTTTAAATCTGTTTATGACTACCCTTTCTACTCTTTTGTCCCCCCCCCTCTCCCGCAATTGGTAGACTTCATCTTCTTCCATTCCAAAAGATGGCTGCCACCTAGCTGTACCCAGCATGTTTTGCGTTTTTCATATTTTCCGACCATGTGAACATTTATTAGTAATCCACGTTGATTGGCCAGTAGGCATTTTCAATTTTATTTATTTGATATTGTTTGTTTGTTTGTTTTTCACTAAATTCACTGTATTTCGTTTCTTCAACTTGTGTTAATGTTTCAATTTTCTCCTCCTTGCTAGAGACCCACTGAGGATGGGAAAAGTGTTTCTCGAAAGTTAACTCTGGGTAATAATTAATAAAAATTATTAACCTTTTGTGGACGATTATTTCCTTTACCATATTATGGAATACCACAAGATATCTACTACCACAACGGAATTGAAACTATTGGTTTTAATTTAACGAATGGAATAGTCATAATAATACAACCATAATCTTGCTTTACATTGATTACAGTTCTACGCCAGGCTAGACTTTTATGAAACCACTGTAGAAAGGATCTTGTCAAAGTATACACGAGTGTACCTAGTTATCAAAAATTGTGAGAAAATGCAGAAAGATGACGATAGTTCTTTCAAGCTGGAAGAAAGCTTTCATTATACATTTTACCCTGCTTCTATCCTTCATTTCTTGCGAGAGAGCAATAGAAAATAATTTTTGAACAACTATAGAATATTTCAAGAAAGTGTTTATCATGACTGTCCAGATCTTGACTAATCTTACTGTAGCGAAATTCTGAGATCCGTTCCTTTCACGAACTGGGCCAATCACGCATGGCAAAGCATAGAGAGCGGGGCCATACTTAATTCCAGTGACTTGACAGAAAGCACTTTCATCTTGAATGTTCATTCAAATACAGTTTGTAAATAGTTACATTGTATATAAACGATTTATTTTTTAAATATTGGCTTCAGTCATACGCTATCTACGTGTTTTTAAAGTACTCATGTGTCAGATGCTTGGATTAAATAAAGGCATGAATGCTTGTGAAGCTGAATCGGCATGACCGTCAGTATTTGGACAGTCCGGATTATATAACAGTACTCTTCAAGAAAAATTTATTTGAAACGTATATTTTGATGTGGGGGGAAGAACTTATCTACTACTTGTTACAATTACGACATAAATCTTGTGCCGTAATTTCCTAGACGTTTGCAAATTTGGGAAAACACACAGTTATAATTTTATTGTTCCAATTATGTTACGATAGTGTGTTTTGTTCATGTTGAAAAATTTCCAAAGCGATTCTGTATTTAAATCTTCCTCCCTTCATGTCGGGGTTTTTGTAATAATTGTCATAATTATTTACATCAAAATTACTACATTTATTTTATTAAAAAGACAAACATAAATAGACGAAAGTTCTAATATGAAATTGGGATATATTTGTACTCAGAAGATAATATTTCGCATTACCCTGGAATAAGATCGAGTGCATTGCACTTCAAAAGAAAACGAGAAAGTATGCTTTCAGCCGATTTGTTGTCAAAGTGATACTAAAAGCAAACGCCTATGATCAATCTTTATTCATAATATGTTTTTATTGAAATAGTCATTTTCAAATAGTTAAGTATTTGAAGACAAAGTGCCAAACATTCAATCACTTTCAAAACTCTATCTAACCCAACAATTAAATAATGTCTGGTCAGAATGTAGAGTTTGTCTGACTCACGTGGAACATTTTGGAATTAATAATTTCCAATCAATGTAAATCTATGAAATGCAATAGTCTACCAAAATGTGGTGGGATAACTGTATTATATTTCCTTCCAGAAGTTCTTCAACGTAAATGTACAATAATACACGCCTATTTCACATTGTCTTAAGGGACTTACAGCAAATATGCACATAATTGTGTGTGTGTTTCACATCCCCTTCGTTCAATTTCGTAATATCTACCGCAACAAGTGTACATACATTGTTATATTCTTTCAAATGAAGAAACTAGTGTTGCTACAAAAGAACATACTTTTTCGCATTATTTGTAACTTTTGCAATTTTGCGAAAAATGTGACCTCCGCAGTTTTTTAAAGCGTACTCTGCTCTATCCGAGGAAAAATTTTAAGTAAAATCTGGGATCGCTGTTGAGAAAAAATATAAGTTGTGATTACTTCGTTTAAAAATTGCGCAAAAACTCCTCGTATTTTCAAAAAAGTAATCAAAAATATTGGAGTAATTTTTTAGAAAACTTTGAAAATGTTGAAGAGCCTTCATGTATGTGAAATACCTAAAAATTAAAATACGAGTATCCTTTTCAAAATCGCAGGGCCTCGTGTTTAGCCAGATTAATCGGTGAAAATCAATTTTGGAAAAAATTATCTCAACTCAATTTTAGGTGTGAGCGTTGACCACAGACAGACGTTCTGGCGTCAGCCCAGTTTTTGGTATCAAGACTCCTTTAAACGTGGATTCTGACTACTCAGCGTGTTAGATGAAGTAATTTACTACCTACAGGAATACGATTTATACCCTTTTTGAATACCAGGGCCTCACAATACGAGATTTTCTGAGGAACAGTCGCCACTTTTCGCTGCTTTTCGATACTTTCTCTTTACTACCTACGTAGTAGACGAAAAAGTAAAAAAAAAAGAAAGTGTAAAATGAGTAAAAATGTATCATATGTATGTAGTATTCAGAACAAGGGACACTAAGTTATTATTATTTGAAAATTTTAACTGAACAATGAGCTCGACATACACCTTTTTGTCTCTATATTACCAAAACTGATAGTTCTTCATATGAGAAACTTCCGTCTTCAAATGAGATGCTTAATTGTATTGAACCTCGTACACTTTACAATAATACACCCCCATTTTACAATATCATAACAAAGTGGTCTACTCCATCTCCTCTAGCGTGTTTGTATTTCTTGAATAACCACTCAATGTATCTCAATGATGTCTTACGATTCTTAAAAAGTTGTAAAATCCTTTCTACCTACCTTCTTTTAAAGAGAAATCGTTACTTTTTCGGTGCTGGAAAATATCTTAGCTTTCTCTATTTCTGAGACGGACATATTCACTTTTTTCGGATCCATGAAGCACGAGTTTACCAGATGATTTTTCGTAATTTTTTCGTGCATTTACGTCGAAATATAGGAGACTTCAACCTTTCTGATTTTGCTGGACGTTGATACACTCGCTCTCATTTTATTAAGAGACACTCGTGCCGGAGAACGTCTATTCATTCAGGTGGTTCGCTTCATCTGCATAAACACTTCACAAACATATTGTGGATATTGTATTAACAAAAAATATGTTAAGCATTTTGCTAACAAATTCCCGGGTGTGAGCTACATGTGAGCTATTTGTTAATTGAGAACGAGAACGCAAACGTAATCTTCTTAATTAGGACAGCGCAAAATGACAAGATTGAATTTTGTGAATGGGGGTCAGAAAAACGATGATCCGATGTCAGCACCGTCCGGAATCCTTTCCTATATAATAGGCACAGCGCTCTTTCGAAACGTAACATGCGGTGCTGCTAGCCGGGAAAACTAGCAAAGAGTAATCGTTGTTCAGTATGTTCCGCAATTAAAAAATAAAAATCTTTTTAGAAATAACTGCAACCGGAGACAAAACATAGGATTCGCGATGGTCAAATTATTCACCAAATTTGGTTACACAAAAATAATGTTTTTGTAAATGAATATGGCCCGGATAGCATGTAGGCGGCGTGGGGGCGGCGCGCGGTGAGGCGAGGCGTGCGGGGCATGTCCGGAGGGAGGCTCGGTCGAGGGCAGAGCAAGGAGAGCGACGGTGGCGGAGTTGGTGGGCTGGAGTGGCGCAGGGAAAAGCGTGGTCTAGATGGAGATAAAATCGCGGTTAATAGATGATTGCGGTAATATGTCTAGTAATATCCATCATTCTTTGCAACTGAGACCTGTTTTAGCTTCCAGAATTGTAATCAACTAGTTAGGAAATATATTGCTTTTCAATTTGAATTATGTTTTTTTTTTTTCTATTTGCAGGAGTTTTTCTGAAAGCCTCCAAGAAAGCGAATTCCAGCAAATTATTTCATTTCATCGTAATTACCAAGATATCTTGGCGATTTCATGAATTTCGTTTTGCTGTATTTTTGGTGTATGTGATGCATTTCGTTCTGATGTACATGACCTTACGTTCACATATTACGTTACATACTTCGTACGACCCAATATAAAGAGACGCGAGAAGTCTGCATTGTCTATAAAATAATGTGTCTTGCATCACGAAAGCAACTCAACCCTCGGTGACAAGAGGCTCATCTAATGTATGATTTCCTATTGCGCAGGGCCCAGCCTCAAGATCTCCAAATGCGACGGCCACGAGATGGCGATTGAAGTTCCTTTGCCCGACAGCGGCTCCTCGGTGTACTTGCAGCATCTCAAGTCATTCTCAGGTAAGTTAACTTTTAATTCCAATGTTTAATTAATGTATTACGTTCCGTGCATCTCAGTTCACATATAACATTCAGAATGCAGTACGGAATTATGGCGAGGTTTAAAAATATCAGTATTTTCAATCAATTAGCTAAACGATGATTCCAGTTATGAATTTGAAATTTGTATTAATAGACATTTAGATCTCTAAGTGTGACATCCTCCTCTGTAAATGGATTCTACTAATATAGTGAAAAAGGTCTCACACTGTTTTACAATTTTGAGCACGAGCTTATTTCGATGGTCAAATTTTACACCAAATTTGGTTACACAAAAATAATGATTCTGGAAATGAATATAGCCCACATAGCATCCAGGCAGGGCATGTACGGTGGCGCACGGCGCGGCGAGGCGTGGGGGCGTTGTCATTAATCTGACTTAAATCAAGCTGAGGTCAGCCTTGAAAACTGTGCTTCTCGAAAAAGCAAATACTTCAGCAACCTTGGTTACAGAAGCACTCACTACATCGGTCCGAATAATGCAACGCTTGTATGTAGATCTATTGATGTTCAATACAAGAACCGGCACCGTAATTGATGTTTTATAATTTATCAGGTCATTTAATGTGAATTTCTCGTTTCACCGTAATGCTTACGAATTTCTCTACATAATTCTACTACTATCATGCCTCATTTACCTTTTGCATACTTTAGGCTCTTAGTGGTCACACACTGCCGCTCTACGAAACAAATCTGTTTATGACTGGGTAGGGTAGGTCTCCCTGCGTTAGGACGATTCGGAATCAAATGCAAAATACGAGGAGGCCCGAGCATGAATTTTCTTAATGTATGAATGTGAATTATTCCTTTTTACCTAGAAAACCCTATTCCTCGTTTCCCTCATTTTACAAGTGACATTCAGAAAATAGCACGCATAGAAAGTGAGCACGTACGACCCTCATCAAATATAAAACTACACATTGAAAACTGAATAGTCATAATCAATTTGTGATTACGTTGATTAAAATATGGATACATTTAATTTAATAATATTTTGTCATAAAATATGATGCTATAAATTGTTGCTAATATTAATAATAAAACACCCATGTGAAATATTCGTCACTGCGGAATTACTATTGAGAAAGTTGTGAGAGCTATTGTTTCGTTTTCTTGGTAGATCTAAAAGACGAGTTCAGCAGAGACAACGACAATATCCCCATAACTTCACGAAATTAAAGACACTTGAGTAACGGTCGTCTCGTGTTTCCGTCATCTAGATTTTCGCATGGGATAGGTCTTCCTTGGAGATGCCATTTTCTGCCTGTAAATGCATCCGTTCATCCTAAAGAGGGAGTATTTCCGAGAACAAAGAGCAGGAACCATAATGCTTGAAGTAAATGCACAATATCGCATTTGCGATAGTAATTTGTAGAAGAGGGTCAAACCTTGACTAGGGTCCTCGTGGGACAGCAGAAGACCAAAAATACCCTCCGTGATGTGACACCCCGGCAGAAGATCGTTTGATAGGAGGGCGGGGTATATTCAGCAAATCGTCTGTCTTGTGGTGACCGCTGGCTACTCTCTCCAGTGAACGCACAGAAGATAACCCATGACAAATGTGCGAGGGCGACTTTCCTGCGGCTGAAATTGGAAACCCTGTCCGAAGGGATAGAAAATACTGAAATAAAACCAAGAGTGTGGAGGAGTACATATAACAAAACCATTCGTCCTAAGGGGAAGGAAAATTCCGAACTGAAAAACAATTCTTCCAAAAATAGGGAACTCCATTGTGCCAATAATAAAGAAGGGCACTTGCTTGATATCGTAGGTTTCCACAGTCAGAGTCATGATCTGAAGAAGACCACGATATGATGGTCGAAACGTCGGCACCTCAGCCTTCGACGCGGCGTCACACGGATAATCCAGATCAACGGCACTTGCTTTGCCCGCAGAAAAGGAAATTCTCCTTGAAGCAGAAAAACCCACAGCAGTTGGTCAGTGGCATGCGAATCAGGAACGCAAGGAGAAAACGCTAAATTATACATCTTCTTACTGTACTGGCCGAATGTAAAATATAGATAGATTTGGTTTATTTGGCTTTATCGGCTATTTGTTACATACAATACATATTTATATACATTGTTTACATCTATAAGTATACTCTATTAACTATTTACAAAATTAATTTTCTACTTTTATGTATTTTATAATTCTTTAAATCCTTTAATTTGTTTACAATTTTTGATTTCCAACTGTAATTTATATTATAATTCAATCCTTTGTCAGATTTACCGAAATTAATTACTAAATTTTGTGCTTATCTCGTTTCCTTTGTTTTATCATTCACTCTGTGGATTTTGTTTACTAAATTTTCTGTTATCTGATTTTTAATTAATTTAAAAGTAAAAATTAGCGTCTTATAATGAATTCTCTCTTTTATTGACATACATTTCAGAGTGTCTAGCCAATCTTGCACTAAAGTATATCTATCTCATTGTCTTATTACCCTCATGGCTGCATTTAGTTGTATATGAAGTTATTTAATATCAGTTTTTTGGGCTCCAATTCGTATTGTTGCAATAATATAGGCCCTTAGATATCGGTGCTCCTTAAATGGAAACGAGGGGCAAAGAATGTCCGAAGGCATAATAATGAAAGAAATGAGCAATAGTGGTAAAATGGAATGTCCATATTTGGTGCTGTAGTAAAAGGCTTGAAAATATTTGGTTAGAAATAAAAACGTAGAAAATTCAAACACTTGTTTGAAAGATGGACAGGATACAGCATATTTATATTCTAAAAGTTTTTTTTATGTCTCTGGTGGGTAATAACATGACGAAAAGAGCTACATCACTAAACGTAAGCAAAGCAATTGTTTATATCCTTCCAATCTCAGAATTATATTGATTCGAAATGACATATCCCACCAACGTGGATACCGAAAAAGTTTTGTCAACCACAGCTCGTACAAAATAGTTCAATGTTACGGTTTGTTATGATTCATTAAGCGCTACCCAAAAATGTACTACAAAAGAGATTTTACTTCTATTTTTGGCGTTTTTAATCCCAAAGTAGGTAAAGGAAAAGTTTATGAATAGTCGGGAACCGTGGACTAAGGAAGAGAAATTGTAGACATGAACTCATAAATTTCTATCGTGAACTGAATTGTTTGTACTGTTTTTTATTGCCAATTAGATGCAAATATACTCGTACTTGGAAGTCACCACAAAATAATTCTTCTAAAACACCATTTTATTTTGTAACAGTGCAAAGAACACAAGAAACTATTCTGGTGCTGACAAAAACTCAGATTATAAGCTTTCCTGCGCAAAGTATTCTTACAATTCAAGAAAATTGAGACTAGTTGCCCCGAAAGAAAGTTAATGTAAAATGTCTTACATCTTGAGAGATTGAAGTAAAAAGAAACAAATATAAAAAGTTAAATAATTAATTTTTTAACAATTAACCAGTGATGAATTTATATAATTGGATGTTAACAATCAATAATATTTCATTAAGAAAGTTTTACTAATTGTAAGAGACAACATTATTGTTGGTAAAATACAAGAAATCGCCAGAAAACTATAAATTACGTATACAATACTGCTAACGATACAAAAATGACAACTTGAGTGACCTGTGACAATATGAAATCATCACAAACTTAAACACAAAATAAAATAAGCAAAATAAATGGATTACTGAGCAATATAGTGAAATTGAATATCTTCAAGAATAGCCTAGTGATTTCCAGGAACAAAAAGGAATAAACAGTAATTTTTTAGAAGGAGAAAGTCTATTTTGAGCGTCTGTTGTTCCATGGTATGGAAAATGTGCCCAATTTGTTGTAGACAGTCCAGATTCAAATATGGATTACATTTTTTGTTTAAAAACCTTCAGTAAAATAATGAGAGAAATGGATATTTTATGACTTTGTACAACGTTTCAAGAAGTTATTCTTTCGCATCAAGTACAAGATCATTCGAAGCTGAGTTCAACACATATTTAGTTAACACTTTGGCTTTATTCTTCAAAATAACTGAATAATTTTTAATTTCAAAATGCGGAAGCAATGTATAGAATACGGTTGGTAACTAGGCGAGTTAGAACCAAATGAATACAATGATTGAAAGGTGGGTAAACAGTGTATACTTCACATTTAAGAAACAAACGAATGTATCAAAGTATTTTATTTGTTATTCATGTACTAGAAAGATCTGTGAAATATTAGATAACATATTTTTATTTACGTTTTATTTAAAGCAATGGTAGTAATTAAACACTGGCATAACAGATCTGGACTATTTTCCTGTTTGTCTCCTTTTTGATGTATTTAGCTTTCTTATATTTTTCTTGATGATTTCTGTAACGTCCACGGTGAAAAATATCTAGCGAAGGCTGTTATTTTGGATGTTTTATCTTATAATTAAATTAATTGTAATTGATGGTGAAAGATCTAATCTGAATATTCAAAGTAAAACATAGCTAATATTCCGTGTAAAACAGTAAATAAAGACAATATTCAACTTTCAACGATATTATTCGAAATAACGAAAAATATTCAACATATTTTGACTTTCTCTTTGAACGTATTGTCGCATTTCTATTGTATATGTATTGTCGTGTTCCTACTTCACAAGAATTTTACCAGAGGCCCTTATTAAGATGACAATCCATTTCCGTGTCACCACAGTCTCGCGCTACATGCCTTGTCCCACAGCAATTACCAACTCCCACGTCGAGCTTCGTGTGCACATTCTTAATTTTCCCTCTCCTAGCTAAAAGGATGGGAGCTCACCATATAACCTAACTTCCTGAAATAACTGTATTTTGAAGACACCATTAAAGTGACTGTCACAACTGTCACATTTCCCATTTGAAAGAATCCCATTTTCTTCCTCCAATACCGTGTTAGAAGTTCCTTCTTAGCATCAATTGGGAAATGTGACTGAGCGTCACTAAAAATATATTCTTTAAATGCAGCAAATAATATTAAAAAAAAAGAAAATAGATGTAAC